TCAAAAAAAAAAAATGTAGAAAATGATGCATTAACTTGGGCAGAAAAATGTACTATAAGTGTGCATTTAAAGTGTAATACAGTCTATGCAGGAATGTTTTTGGATTAAAATATTGCTTGGTACTTCATCAGTGGTACTATAACATCTGGTTAATTGTTTTCTTTTGAAGCTGTTTCTGTTACAGGTATAGCTGAATTAAGAATTATTTTAGGCCAGAAAATGTTGTAAGATCCTCATAATGATTTTAAAAATTCACATGAAAACAAAGAATAATTATATTTGAATAAGTACAGTATGCACGTGCTAGCATCATCATTATGACCGATACCATGGAGTGTTGTCTGTAATGTTTAATGTAGGTGGTCACTGTCATCATGCTATACTCCCTCACCATTTGATCTCCCTCTCCACCAGTTTCTCTCTTTATTCTCTACCCATTCACTTGCTTGCAGGTAGGCAGTCCAAGTGTAGAGTTACTATTATAATGTATCATAACACTCTTATGTGCTGAAATTCCATATATGGAATAAAATAATATGTTCACACTTAAGGCAGTTTTAAACATCATGCATCATCTCTTTCCCTTGGTGACACAGTTTCTCTCTTTGGTTTCAAATCAGTAACTCTCATGAAGACCAGGTGTAAAAATAGCATCTTGAGAAATATTGCCCTTATAGGTTGGAATTAATTGTAAATATGGGATAAAGTAATGTTTTTTTAATCAATTGTGGCTCCAGGTAGAACCAAAGCAAGCATGACATGCATGTCTTCCACCAGCAACTGATCAAAGTTTAACCCAGGAACAAATATGCTGATTTGTTTTAAACAAAGAGGGATTAATTTGGATGGAGAATACAACTGTTGATTTGCATTTCAGATAAAGATATTCAGCCCTATTTTGCCGCATCAGAATTTCATTCACCTTTCTTCTCTTAAAATCACTTTAATGTCATTAATACGTGTTAAAAAAAGTAAGAAAGCCTCACCAGAAGTCTAGGAAAATCATTTGTCATACTTTTTAAAAATTCGTATAGCTGGTTTAAATTCTGAAATGATATAGCCATGGCAAATGTTAATACCCATACATTTCAAAAAGTTTAACTAATGACATTAGTATCAAATTTTTAAACAGTCTATGCTAGAAAAGTTTGAGGTTGGAGAATTGATTTAGCACGTTTTTAAAAATAGGACGGCTAATTTTTATTGTGAGTTGTGTGACTTGTTGTAAAAGATCACAGTATATGGTACTTAAATTCACTGTACTGTAGTAATTTTAATTCTGTATAAAACTTGAGTCCTGGAGATGGGAAGTACAGTGCCTGCACTCTGAAGGAGGGGTGTTAATGTTGCAGTTTAAAAACTGTAGTGTAAAGCACCCTTCTGGCAAGACAGTGATGGAGTGAATGATGGTGAAAGTTTTTCTTTTTCGGGCCACCCTGCCTTGGTGGGAATCGGCCGGTGTGATAATAATAAAATAATAATAAAAAAAAAAAACTTCCATAAAAAAAATCCTCATCAAAGTTTTATAGTTCTAGTAGTGAGAAGCTTAGAGGAAAACAGGTCATCATATTAACATGTTAACTGGGCTTGTTGACCCAAAACAGAGTTTTGTCCAGCTGCATATCATGGCTTCATGATGAATTTGAGTTTCAGCATTTGAAGGAGAGAGAGGGGTATCATCATTATCATCATCATCATCCTTTTCAGAGGCATCACTGCTGCTCTTATCCTTTACATCACTGCTTCTCATTTCATTCTGTAACCTTGATGTAAATAAAGAAGGAATGCATGTATACCATTCACAGCAGTGCATGTGTACAATTTGATTCTGGGGCAGATCTAGACGTTGGGCATGTTTTCTTGTACCTGTTGCACTTGTTTAGTTAGCAGTTAATAAATAGGTAACTAGTGTTAGCTGGCTGTTGTGGGTGTAATCCTGGGGAAAAAGGAGTAGTATACCTTAACCTCTTAACTGTGTTCAGTGTTCTAGTACGCAGATGATAACTGTGTATCCAATTACTAGTAAGCATAATTTCTTGTGCCTTCAGATATTCTACCTATCAATAGTTTTGACCTCAGCACAACTGTTTGGATCTCCTGCAATCCCTTCATGCCTTTGAAAACAATCTAAGACCAGACAGGCCCACATTGTGAATTATGGGTAACACTTCCTATGATAACTAAACAGTGGAACCAGGACCTGTTGTCTAACTACTCCAACTGAAAACAGTTATAATTTGACATCAGTGAACTGTAAAACAGAAATATCACTGGTGTATTTATGGCACTGTTGGCAACGAGTGATAATTTTTTTTTTAAATTCAATACACCATAAAATCATAAGTTTTTATCAGATTGCACTCATTTTAGTCTCGTTCAATTTATAAAAATGCACTCTTTCAATCTTTACGATTCGGTGGTGTTAAAAAAAATACCCAGAGGTGAATTTTCACATATTTTAGAATAAATACTAGGTAGTGTTTAAAGAGCAGGGCAAGAGCTGCATGCCACTCTTGGTGTAGCAAGAGCTACATGCCACTCTTGGTGTAGCAAGAGCTACATGCCACTCTTGATATAGCAAATGCTACATGCCACTCTTGGTATAGGAGGAGCTAAATTCCACTCTTGGTATAGGAGGAGCTACATGCCACTATTGGTATAGCAAGAGCTACATGGCACTTGGTATAGCAAGAGCTACAGGACACTTGGTGTAGCAAGAGCTACATGTCACTCTTAGTGTAGCAAGAGCTACATGACGCTTTTGGTATAGGAAGAGCTACATGCCACTTGGTGCAGCAAGAGCTACATGACATTCTTGGTGCAGCAAGAGCTACATGCCAATCTTGATGTAGCAAGAGCTACATGCCACTCTTGGTATAGCAAGAGTTACATGACACTCTTGGTGTAGCAAGAGCTACATGACACTCTTAGTGTAGCAAGAACTACATGACATTCTTGGTGTAGCAAGAGCTACATGACACTCTTGGTGTAGCAAGAGCTACATGACACTCTTGGTGTATCAAGAGCTACATGTCACTCTTGGTGTAGCAAGAGCTACATGACACTCTTGGTGTATCAAGAGCTACATGTCACTCTTGGTGTAGCAAGAGCTACATGACACTCTTGGTGTAGCAAGAGCTACATGACACTCTTGGTGTATCAAGAGCTACATGTCACTCTTGGTGTAGCAAGAGATACATGACACTCTTGGCATAGCAAGAGCTACATGACACTCTTAGTGTAGCAAGGACTACATGACATTCTTGGTGTAGCAAGAGCTACATGACACTCTTGGTGTAGCAAGAGCTGCATGTCACTCTTGGTGTAGCAAGAGCTACATGTCACTCTTGGTGTAGCAAGAGCTGCATGTCACTCTTGGTGTAGCAAGAGCTACATGTCACTCTTGGTGTAGCAAGAGCTACATGACACTTCTTACAACAAGAGCTACATGACACTCTTGGTATAGCAAGAGTTACATGACACTCTTGGCATAGCAAGAGCTACATGACACTCTTCTTATAGCAAGAGATACATGACACTCTTGGTATAGCAAGAGTTACATGACACTCTTGGCATAGCAAGAGCTGCATGACACTCTTGGTGTAGCAAGAGCTACATGACACTCTTGGTGTAGCAAGAACTGCATGTCACTCTTGGTGTAGCAAGAGCTACATGACACTCTTAGTGTAGAAAGAACTACATGACATTCTTGGTGTAGTAAGAGCTACATGACACTCTTGGTGTAGCAAGAGCTGCATGTCACTCTTGGTGTAGCAAGAGCTACATTACACTCTTGGTGTAGCAGTCAGTGGAATGTTAATGTTGGTAAACAGAATCACATATTCATAATATGACTTTCTTCCCTAATGTCTCATTCTCTTTAAATGTGATTCTCACATATTAAATATTTGTAAAGAAGGGATTTACTGTAGAACAAGGGGACAGAAAGTTAAGAGGCAAATCTTGGATCTATCTTAATTACCACAAACTCAGCCAAGCAAATTTTGCTTGGTAAATATGCACCTTCATTCAGCAAAGAGTCATTCTGGGCTCTTTACACAACATATGTCAGGCTCATCTTAGAGTATGCAGCACCAGTATGGAACCTGCATTTGTAAAAGCATATTAAGAAATTGGGGAAAGTGCTGAAGTATGCAACAGGCTTCTTTATCAGCTAAGGGGCTTGAGCTACTAGGAGATGCTAATGAAACTGGTTCTAACAACAGAGGACAGAAGAATCAGGGGGAGGGACATGATAACAATAATATAATAATAATATCTTTATTTGTACTATATAGAAAGCTGGATTTTGGGCAAATTAGGTCACTTTTGTCCCAGGATGTGACCCACACTCATCAACTAACACCCAGGTACCCATTTTACTGATGGGTGAACAGCCGTACTGGGGATTTGAACCCCGGACCTCAGTGTGTGAGCTGAGTGCACTAGCGATCAAGCTACGTGATAATATACAAAATACTCAGGGAAATTGATAAGGTAGAGGGAGATAGGCTGTTTGAGAGGTAAACAAGAGCTCAGGGATACTGGTTGCAATTAGGACATAGATGAGCCACAGGAATTCTAGAAGTATTTTCAGTCTGAGAGGGGTTGGAAAGCGGAATGGTCTCGGTGAGAAATGGTGGCGGCAAGCTCCATACATAGTTTTAAGAACAGGTTCTATAGGTTCCACAAAGCTAAGAGGGAGTGCATCTGGAGAGTGGTAAGTTAAGAGACAGGGCCAGGAACTGAGAATTGATCCCCGGCAACCACAAATAGGTGAGTTCACCTAAAACTAAAAAATCTACTTACCAATCTTGAAAACCTTTTCTCTCAAATTGTGCATCATGGCTTGTGTTTTAAAATGAACAGGATTGCTGAGGTTTATTAATTATCGTACTTTTATTCAAACAATGTTTCACTTAGTGATATGCATGTAATAAGATAATGAATAAAAAAGTCTTATTAACAGACAATAATGAGCTTATTATGCTTTTGTGCAGGATCTCCGGAAACAAAGAGAGGAGGAGAATCGTCAAAGACTTTATGAACAACTTAGAAAAGCTCAGGTTAGTAAACATTAAATTAAATAGACTGGAAGTTATGCCATTAGCTACATTAGAGGTAATAATAAATATACATAAAATGTAAAGAACAAAGGGATGTTATTGATCATGATGGGAGTAAGTTATATTTTAGACTTGGTGAAATATGAAGGTAAGGTTAAGGTATTGCAGTCATTTGTTGAATAGGGTCAGATATGGACATTTATTTGCTGTATGTGCATGAAAGAAATTGGAAACCCTATTTATCTGTGGCTTACTCATGCATGGAATTTCTATTTAGTGTTTGCAGTGTGGTTATGTACAGTATCCTTATTTCTGGCATACTTGAGGTTTTGCAGGCTTTTGACACTCCATCAGCAAGAGACAGCCTGTTTGCACGAGTTATCACCCCACCTCCTAATTACCTTACTACCATTACAGTACCAGAGAAATTAACTTTATTTTATAATATAGTAAGCTCAAGAAATTATTAAGAGGCAGTTGGGTCCCTTGTTATCATCTCGAATCACTTGTAGTTTATTTGTTATCATCTCAATAAAAAATATTTTTAAGAGGTTAAAGATAATCCTAGTGAAAGATGGAACACAAAAGAGTGAGAGAGGGAGACAGATGGGAAGGCAAGAGAGAGAGGGAGATAGACGGTGAAAGGCAGACATAGATATAACTAACAAATAGCATCCAGTTTTCATAAATATGGCTTCCTGGAAGAATTCATTTCTTTCATTTAGTGCATTTTCCACATGAAATTTTTGCCTAAATTTAGGTTATGCTATTTAAATAATAATAATGGAATATGCATAGATTAATTTGTATTTGTAAATGACTGCAGTCTGAATGGTAACCATAATATGTAAACACATAAACCAACTTGTCAAGCATTCACTACCTTGAACACATACTCTGTAATTTATTTAACACAGCAAATTTCTGGTAGAAATAGTTATTGCATCTAGCAAAATTGCACACAGTTGGAGAGAGACCTTCATTACTATTCAGTAAGAGTTCATTGAGTTCTCTAGATACAAATAATACCAGTGTACAATTAATTTCTATTCTGTACAATCCCTTTATTTTGCAACTGTGTATCTCACAGTCCCATTAAGTCAACCCAGCCCCCTTCCAGTATTAATCAGTTCAAAAATCTCCTGTGCTTTGCTCAGGCATAATTAAATCTCTCCATGTGAAAATTTGGCACCATACTGGCTATATAGAGATTTGTAAGACTATTTCATTGTATTCCATGTTTACATTCAGTTAAAGTTACACATTCTGCATTCTGGTGACTAATAAAGAACAGAGTACAGAGCACAAGTTTATGAAAAATAGAAAGATGTATTTAGTGATTTGTTGTAAGAGCTAGCAAGTTTAGTCATACACTGTAAATATGCATTATTTAATTCCATATTTACATGGATCTCCAATATATAAGGGTGATATGTCTGTTCAGGATTGTAAATCTACACTAGGGCTGCATGCTAGTGATTAATAAGGAACAAAATAAAGAGTGAGGGTAAAGGCCTGTGGCTTAGTAAGGGGTGAAAGAAACCACGAAGATGTTGCTCCATGTTGGAGGGAGGACTGCTGATGATGATGCCATGGTGTCTGTATACAGGATTGTTAAAAATAAAAATTTCCTGTTCAGTTTTACAGTGAATATGCATTCCCTTGAATTTTTTCCAGCCCACAGATTCTTCAACACCAATATAAAGCACCAGTATAAAAACAGTTGTAAGAGGAAATGTGTGAATTGTAAGCATAACCTAGCATCAGTCACTCTCTGTTCAGTACATTATGCTGTAAGCATATGCTCCCATTCCTTTTTGAGATAACTGGATTGTTAAAAAGCCACTGCTAATTACACCAGAGAGTGTGGGAATGAGTAAGAGAGAAAGAGTAAATAAGAAAAGAAAAGTTCATGTGGAATAGACCAGTACAGGTACACCCTTAGTGAATATTGAAGATTCAGAATTTGCAGTCCAGCAACTAGGGATTCAATATTCATCCCAGCTTCATCAACTTCATCCTCACAAGATAATGTTTAAATGAGTCTTTTGAAAGAAAGAAAGAATTTTTTTCATTGGATGCAAAATGAGGATTGTACTTATGTATAGTGGTGTCAACACTTTTGTATGGGTGTGAGGCATGGTTTTTGACTGTTGTATTGAGGAGGCAGCTTGAGGCAATGGAGAGGGCCTGTTTAAGATCATTATATGGAGTGACTCTTATGCAGAGAATAAGAGTGAAGAAATTTAAAGATGGTGTTAGGGCACAAAAGTTACAATTCAGAGAATGGAGGAAAGTTTGTTGAGATGATTTGGTCAATTATAGGCTGTCAAACAGAATATCTTCTTCTTTCAACATACCAGCTGTATCCCATTGAAGCAGAGTGGCCCAAAAAGAAAAAATGAAAGTTTTTCATCTTAACTTTAGTAATATATACAGGAGAAGGGGTTACTAGCCTCTTGCTCCTGGCATTTTAGTCGCCTCTTGCAACACACGCTTATGTAGGAAGAATTCTGTTCCATATTCCCATGGAGAAAACAGAATATATAAATATAATATGGATTAAAGGAGGTATAGTGGCTATCCCAGGAAGGTTGTAAAGGAGGTTTTCAGTAGTAGGGGGTTTATGTATCCAGCAGGTTATTTAGGAGTGAGTTTAGTAACATCTACAAGGGGATTTAAGGAATCTGGTAAGTATGACTTTGAGTTCTGGAGGTGAGAGGTACAGTACCTGCATTCTGAAGGTGGGGTAGGAATATGTCTGTTTGGTTAGTTATTTGAATTAGGATGTTTGTGCATTTCTCGATGTAATCTATTGGTCTCTGTGCCTTGGCAGAAAATGGCTGTTTTAAAAAATACTTACTATAAAGTATTTATATATTGTACATATTATGCATAATGCATAAAGAAGTGGATAACTACTACAGTGAATGGTAAGTACGGTACCTATTTTTCATATTTTTAATATTTTGTGTACATACCATACACCACACACTTCATTGTATTGAGGCCTCTGGCTAAGTTTGAAATCTACATTAATTTCAAAACTCTTGGCCCTGATGAAACTGAACTGTTAAGGTTGTACTGCGCTGTTTGTTGAATAAATGAAAAGTAAATTTTAAAATCAAATGTACTGAAGGAGATTGAAGACAGAGTTAATTGACAGTTGTAGAGTTTGCTTTTGAAGCAGATGACTTTATAGCTAACTACTGTGCATACTTTTAATTCTACCACTTGCCATGATATATGGCAGTTTTTTCATGGTGATAATGGGGGTTGTGGTGATAGTGATGGGGGACAAAAGTGGTGTGGTGTAGTGGCACCAGCAACACAATATTTTATGTGATACCTACTCCCAAATGAACATCGTCCTTCTAACTTTCTACCTCATATACATTACATATATGCTTAACCCTTTGACTGTTTCGGTCGTATATATACATCTTACGAACCAATGTGTTTCACGTATATATACTCAAAAATTCCAGCGGCTTCAAATCAAGCAGAAGAAAGCTGGTAGGCCCACAGGTGAGAGAATGGGTCTGTGTGGTCAGTGTGCACCATATAAAAAAAACCTGCAGGACGCAGTGCATAATGAGAAAAAACCTCTGACCGTGTTTTTGGATTAAAACGCCAAATTTGTGGTGTATTTTCGTATAGTATTTATGGTTGTATTCTCATTTTCTTGGTCTCATTTGATAGAATGGAAAACCTATTATAGAAATAGAGGTGATTTTGATTGGTTTTACTATGAAAAGAACCTTGAAATGGAGCTCAAATTAGGGGAAATGTTTGATTTTTGCCGATGTTCAAAAGTAAACAAATGATGTCATTGTCCAATAAATGTCCAACTAGCCATTCTGATATGCAGTCATGAATGGGTTGACATTATTTATACAATTATTACAGTATTGCAATAGTCTGCATAGCAGGAAATCTATTTTTTGGTTGAATAAAAATTCAAAATAGAAAGCAAGAGTAATATCAGAGGGGCCTGGAAATGTGACTGATTAACAAAGAAAATGTTATTTAAGAGCCAGGAATGTCTGCATTGTTCATTGTTTTTTTTTTTTTTTTTTTTTTTTTTTTTTTTTTTTTTTTTTTTTTAAATTCCGACACCAGGAGACACCTCAGGATTTGGGGTTGCGAAAGTCAAAGGGTTAAAGAGGACTGATTATGTGTAAAATACAACAGTGTAGAGTAAAAACCTTAATTTAATGGATTTTATATTAAAAGGAGAAGATCCAGTGTCCAGTCACAGTCTAAAAGCAACAAAGCTCATTCATTGTCTGTTATGGTTGCTATTAGAAAGGGGGGTGAGGGAATTGGATTATGATTGATACCTTGAAAATAAGTGGATTTAATGTGCTGGAATTATGTGCTTAGTGTAAATGTGAAAGAGAATGTTACCAAGAATTTTCAGGAAGTATGTTTTTTTTTCCTTATACAGTGGACCCCCGCTTAACGATCACCTCCCAATGCAACCAATTATGTAAGTGTATTTATATAAGTGCGTTTGTACGTGTATGTGTGGAGGTCTGAAATGGACTAATCTACTTCACAATATTCCTTATGGGAACAAATTCGATCAGTACTGGCACCTGAACATACTTCTGGAATGAAAAAATATCGTTAATCGGGGGTCCACTGTACAAGGGGAAGGTGAATATAAGAGTGTGTAAGAGTTATAACAACAGATTTATTAGTTCTCTATATAAGGTAACGTGAATCATAGAGTCGTTATAGTGTAATTGGAAAGACAAGTATGATTGTAGAAGAAGAAAGTGGATTTAGAAAGGAGAGAGGGTGTGAGTGAATCATGCATTTATATTGAGTCATGGTGAGCAATATGTAGATGAGGGACTGGAACCTTTTGTTACATTCACTGATTTACAAAAGGCACAGGACAGGGTGGCTCAGGGAGCATTGTGGCAAAGGTTGTAAATATTGCACATAACATCTTTTACAATTTAATAATAAGGAAACACATACAGACCTAAATATGTTGGCTGTGAATTTCCATATCATGTAAAGTTTTTTGAATTTCTTCATTTACTAAAATATGTAATGTCAATGTTGTACTGCTTTTTAAAAATATGAATACCATCAATAACTTCCTGATTAAGAACTTCCAGAGAATGGTAATGGTTATGTCTGGTAAATCCCATGCATCTCCACATCCATATACTTTTGAAGATACTTTTATCATAATCTTTGCATAGACTCTTTATGCTTAACTTTCAGTCTTCTTCAGCAACTGTTAATACACTGTACAGCTACTTTCTACCATTCTTACAAGGTTGAGAAACAAATAATTTCTCCTAACTTCAGATCTTTGCCTGGTTAGTCTGCCTAAAAGATGGATTACACCCAAGTGCATACATTTTGGAAATCCTCATTGGAAGTGTTATAGTCCTTGGGTCTTGGTGACACCATGGACCGTGGACCTTGGAATGACCAGGGTTCAGGGACCAAACTGTTTTTAATAAAGATGTCCTAAGTGTATGCACTTGTGCTCTTTCATCCATATTGTTGATATCATTATATCTTCAACTTTTATAGGATGCACCATGCCATTCCATATACATTCCATATCTTTTGAACCTTGTTCATGAGTGCTGATAATCACAATTTGGGCATTTGTAAGTCGGGGACCTTTTGCATAGTCAAGCTAAAAGTTCATAAGAGGATGAATTGGTATCACTTATGCTTTCATAATACAGTGGACCCCCGGTTAACGATATTTTTTCACTCCAGAAGTATGTTCAGGTGCCAGTACTGACTGAATTTGTTCCCATAAGGAATATTGTGAAGTAGATTAGTCCATTTCAGACCCCCAAACATACACGTACAAACGCACTTACATAAATACACTTACATAATTGGTCGCATTCAGAGGTGATCGTTATGCGGGGGGTCCACTGTATATTGTTACGTACTTGTTTTCTTGCAAAACTCTTAATCAGGAAAAAACAGCACTTTGATGTCTTTTGAACCAGCACTCTTAATTAAAGATTGCCCTAGACAAGTTCATTCCTGAGAAACTGGCACCCAAATAAATTTATCTAACACATTGCATCTCAGCATACTAACTGACAGAGAAGTGTAACATTAACCTTGTCAAAATTAGTAGTTGATCAGTACCTGAGAAACTGGCATATTAATAAGATGAGATGCTGATAAATAAGCTAACCTTGTTTCCCAAGAGTGCCAGTTTTTATTGCTTACTTTTATTTTTATTACTAAAGAGTAGAAAACTACCATGTATACGCGCAAACAGTTGGAACTGAAGTATTATATATGCTTTTAGCTCTGTTTACCTTAATTTAGTTTGGCAGAGGTCATGACTTGAGCCCTTCTTACTTCCAGATTTGTGAAATATTTTTATATGGTCTCCTGGTGATAGCTCGCTTATCTTACTTGTTTGCATCTACTCTTTACACTTCTTGTATTAGTAATGAAATAATGTATGCTTTCAGGAAAGAGAACAAGAAAAGCAGAAGCAAAAATTGCTGAAAGAGCAGGTAAGTCGTCTGAATTTTTTTTTCTCACTGAATATGTAGGATAATGTAGTATACATATAACACACTGAAGTTATTGGTCAAGTCACTGTGTGTATTTAGTGAAATTGTTAAAATTGTATGAGTGAGTGTGTACACGTGCATATGTATGTATGGGGATGGAGTAGCTTGAGATCTCTTCAAAACAGTCAGTTTTACTTATCTTTATTACAGAAAAATGTGCCTTGTTGAAATATTATTGTTTGTCTTGTTACATTTATCATTAATGTGACTAATGACATTACAGTAGTACTTTTCAAATAGGGAAGATTGTTTGCAATATTTCTAAATCTGGTAAGATTGTGCTAAGCAAGATGCTCATATTATAATACCATATGCAATAATGTCATTAGATTTCATATCATTCACTTTAATTACATGGAATCTTGCACAAACTTACCTGTTTGTTGAGCCTGTGGTAAGTATATTACCTCACTAGAGACTTCAGTATATTACCTCACTTGAGACTTCTTTGGTTGATTCATATTTCTACTGCCTGAATATTAGCTGGAAGCACTTCCTGCTTAAATCCCTTTAGTCTCATTCTCTACAAAGCTTCTTAGTTGTGTTCAACCTGACGGAAATAGAAATTTTTGAAAATATATTTCACTTTTAGAAGTTTTGCTGTTTGTAGATGTTTAAAAATAGTATAATAATAGCCCAGCTTTTATTTGATAAATTACTGGCAGTAAGTGTTTCCTTTATGTGATATCTCAGTCGGTGTTTGAGTACCAAGTCTTAACCTTTTATAGTTTAACTTTTATTTAATAATATTTTGGTTTAGAGATGCTCAAGCAGTGACCTGTGATAGAGGGCCAGGCATTTTATATTTTTACCTTCAATACCTGTGCACATTTGAGCCATTAGGATGTATTTGTAAATGAACTCAGTTAGGGTGAGAGTCATTGGCAAAGATTCCCTACTGAGAGCAGAAATTTAATCTCACATGGCTAGCTCTTGGCATTATCATTATTTGACTTGAGGTAGTGTTTGGCAAAAGTCACATACCCTGATTGATCACTTTACAAAGTTACAATCCTTGATCTCAAATCTGTAGATTGAATGCTGTAGGTTTGGCACTTGGTAGAGTAACACAAGAAGCTGTAGACAAATTAAGACGGTAGATATTTTTTGAGTGTTTCACAAATTTCCATATTGACAGGAGCAGCCATCCACAGCTGTCTTAGCCACTCTACAGACTCTCAGAGCAATGAAAACCTTGTCAATGTATGTTATTAACTGATCAGTCAGTGTGATTAAAACTTTGATGAGTCTTTACTTGAGAGAGTTGGTGGAAGATATTAACGACTATGCTTATCTAAATGATTCTTCTTTTTTTTTTGATGTTTTTAATATAATGAGTTATGGCATAAATTGAGTAAAGCTTGTTATTCTACCTTTTATTTTTTTACATAAAATATGCCTGCTAATCTGACATTTTTCTTGTGACTTCCAAGACATTAATTTAATTGTACAGCTTTACATGCATACAAACATGCATACATACAAACATGCACACATACAAACATGCATATATACAAATATGCATACATGCAAATATGCATATATGCATACATATAAACATAAATACATACATGCAAACATACATAGTAACCTATATATGTACATGCTAACATATATACATGCAGACATACATGCAAATGTATATACACTCATGCATAAAAACAAACATAGGTAAAATCAAATAATAGTTAAAACATACATACATAAAAATACACATGCATAAAAACAAATATACATAAAAACATATATAAAAAGAAACACACATAAAAACATACATAAAACATATAAACAAACATACAAATGTACATACAAACATACAAATGTACATACAAACATACAAATGTACATACAAACATACAAATGTACATACAAACATACAAACAAACTTACATACAAACATACATAAAAACATACATAAAAACATACATACAAACATACATACAAACATACATACATGCATACAAAACATGCACACAAACACATGCAACACACAACACACACATGCACACAAACAACACACACACACATGCACACAAACACACACACACACACACACATGCACACAAACACACACACACAACACATGCACACAAACAACACACACATGCACACACACACACACACACACACACACACACACACACACACACACACACACACACACACACACACACACACACCACACATGCACACCACACACATGCACACACACACACACACACACACACACACACACACACACACACACACACACACACACACACACAACACACACACACACACACACACACACACACACACATGCACACAAACACACACACACAACACACATGCACACACACACACACACATGCACACACACACACACGCACACACACACACACACACACACACACACACACACACACACACACACACACACACACACACACACACACACACACACACACACACACACACACACACACACATTTTAGTTTGTGACATCCTTTAGTGTATTGCTGTTACCTCATTCCTCCACCGACGCTCTCAACAAAGTAGTTTTTAACGATTGATTGGCATGCCCCCACATTATGTGTATTCACCTGCCATCATGTCCCTAAAACCATTTGTGAAACCACTTTCTTCAGAAGCAAAATGGGAAGAAATGTGTGTTTTGTGTGGTGCCGGAGAGAGCATGATGGTGGGTGGCGTCACGTAGTAACTCTCTGACACTCTGACATTATTGTTGTTCCACAGTTGTATCTACAGGAGCTCAACAAACAACGTGAAATGCTCTACACTCTTGAGCTGGTATGTCCTTCCACCCTCATGAGGCACTCAATCAAGTCACAGTGTTTTTTTCAAAGTGTTTGGCTTGTTTTAAGTTAATTTATTTTTGATTGAAGTTGGCAGTGTGAAGCATTTGGGATGGAAGTTAAAGTAATTACAGTGTAATGAATCTTTTGTCAGTATTAGTTGTATAATTTTCACAGTGATACAGATATCAAAGTGATATAAGAGACATTTCTTTCACAACTTCAGATTATCCAAGATCTGATCAGTTGGCTGTCTTTGTAATGGGTATGTTTAATTTTTATTTAGTAAATTTTCAAAAACTCATTAAACAAGTATATTTTTACTGTGCAGTAATTTTTTTTATACTCCAGTATATGAACACCAAATCTTAAGATTTGGTGCACCCAACCATCATATTATGTAGTCAGTTTATGTGATTAAAGGGGTACCTAATTGTAGGTATTGTTTTATTAATTTTCATTCATATTGAGTCCTTGAAAGCATTTCAGTCTTAAACTAGGTGTCTTATTAGTTGTTCATTAGCTGCTGGTTTATATTTCTTAAAATTAGTCTAGGTATCAGAATCGTAATAATCATTAGTATTCCTCTTGGACCTGGCACGTTCCTTTATTTCCTGTTTTTATGACTTGCATTTTACATTGGGACTCTATGCCCTTATGTTTCAAGAGTGGTAATTTGTTGGGGTGTGTCAGAGTTTTAGTATCGGTGGCAATCAGTAAATTTTGATGGTACTGGTATTCACATAAAACTGAGTATCAGTGGATATTGCCTAATTTTGAAGGTACTATATCAGCTTAAAATTAAGTATGTGTGTGTATATCAACTAATTTTGGCAGTATCCATCAAAAAGTGAATTTTGGCATCAGTATCAGGAAATATTTTGGTATCATCCCATCAGTGGTCATTTATTGGAAGGATCTGCTTCTCAGGCTCTGGGTGTTTTGCCACTGGTCTTCAGACCAGACTTGAAGTCCATTATTGAGGGTTTACTTCTTGGCTCTCCAGTGATGGATGGTTCCTGCCTACCTTCTGGGTTCCACTCTCACAATCTTCAAGCCTGCTGCCTCTGATGTTGGTCAGCAAATGACTGCTCTTGTAGTGCTGTGTCATATCATGAGCTTCAGTTTTAAGTGCTTAGACCTTTTTGCACTTGCTGTAGAAGTCATATGTATGAGCTCCCTTCTGCTGTCCTGGCTGTTCACCAATCATGCTACCTTACTGGATGGGACTTTTGGCTTTTGACCCTGACAGTGCTTCATTGCCATAACTTAGGGTGTATTTTGCCATCCTACTTCCAATGACAGTTTTCCTTTCCTTCTCTCAATTTCACAGATCATCTATGTTGTTTTCATTTTCTAGCAGTCCTTCTGTCACATAGTATTCAAGTGCCTTTTGCTGTTGATTAGTTTGCCACTGGGCTGCCTTGGCTTTTTCAAAGTCATGAACAATCATGGATTGCTACTCCCCAGTACTGGCTGTCATTCTTTTCTTTTGCCCTCCCGGCTTGATGGATTTGCTAGCTGGCAAAGTCTCTTGCTATCCCCCTCCTTTGCCTAAGTTTACAGGCACTGGCTGTTTTCATTTCCATCATGCCTGTCTGAGTGGGTTTTAGAGCCTTTGGATGCATTGATTCACTTCTCACAAAGTCATGATGTCACCAATCTGGGTCTGTCATTTGTCAAGATGGGTCTGTTCACTGTTCTATTTTCAGACCCTGGGATAGTGCTTAAACTTCCTGTGACTACCACCAATGACAGGTTGCTTCTCTGAGCCCCCCCTTCCTCGTTTTAATAGTTATGAGTGTGTCACTTTATTTCACATACCTTGTTAAATTAATCACTTCTCTATCTGGCATGAGTTTCATATACATTAATTTACTGATGGTATTGGAAAAAGTGCTGGGAGTCTTTGATTGGGGTCACTGCTCTCTTCAGGAAATCTGGGCTTATTGTGGTTGTGTCTCTAATTACAGACAGCCAAGACTTTTTTCATAATCATGGTTCATCAGCCTTAGTGCCCCACACCTGGTACATCTCTCAAAGTGTCGGCTCTCTGGATGGCCAGGAATATCTTTTTATGACTTAATTGATTTCTTTATGCTGTTTCTGATGACCTCCTGTTGTGATTACTCCTTGTGTGCCTGCATATTTTCACTTGCTCTGGGGTCTTTGTGCATTTGCAGTGACAGGGTCTTTAGCCTCACACAGTGCTTTCTGTTGGCTTATTGTGTCTTTTGTGTTGGCCTTGTCTTCGACTGAGTACTATTTCCTTTGATTCCTGAATCTAATTTATATCCTTTTGAATTTTGTCCCATTAGACAACTGTTTGAATACATAATGGGTTTTGGTAGTATAATTTTAGATTGGGTCACCCATGATTCTGCTAAAGAATAATAATTTTTGAAGTATAATAAGCATAATTCTGTGAAAGGGGGCCATCAGAGCCGAAGTTTCCTCTTCCTTGCCCAGCTATCTTGCCTACAGTTACCAATTGGAGAGTGGCACCTGTGCAAGCAACCAGCTGATGCTTGTGCACCTCCCACACTGGTATTGTTAAGAGTTGTGAGGAATTAAAGTATAATTAAAGCTTAACTAAACTCCCAGGGTTATTAAAGGTGAGAAATAGGTAGGTATAGATGTGATATACAGTATTGTAAAATAGGTCCCCAGGATCAACAGGAAGTAGTTTATTCAAAATGAATTGCTAAAGATTGGTTAAGAACACATATTTGAAGGTCACAGAAAAAAAAGAAAATAATTGGAATTATTAAAGAAAATCTCTTAATGCTCATACTATGCTATCACAGATTCAAACAAGCCAAAAATAAACATATTTTACTGTACTGCAGTGCATTATACAGTACTTGGAACATGAGAGGAAGAGAGAAAATACTGAGCAGAAGTAGTATAAAATGAAAGGTATAACTAAACTTATTATTTCCTGAAAGGCAAGCTGAATGTGAAAAAAAAAATAAAGAATTAACCTTAATAATACAATTGAATTAGAGCAAGAAATAAGTTAGACATTAAATATGAAATTCCATAGTGTGTTTATAAAGGAAAAGCTTTCAATTCACTGGTCTTTTAAATCCTAACACCAGATTAGATAGAACCCAGTGAATTAAAAAGGGAAGTAAACAAGCATGTATTGGCAACTCATTCTCACTTTACATTGTTTTTATACACAATTCCTACCATCATTTTCTAAGCATTCCTTGCATACATAAAGTAAAAAAAAAATTATTTTTGGAGACCTAGGTAATGTTAAAATTAGTTATTTGATATATATTAGATAAAAAATGACTAGGACCTGGGTTTTGGAGGCTAGTAGAAAGGAATTTAGCAATCCATTCTGAATAATTTTCATGATTTTACTAAAAGAAAATTAATTTGAAGACAAATGGAAAAATGTCATTCATATCTCTAATATTTGAAAAAGGTAGTGGGGATTCACTTCAAATTATAAGCATCTTAATTAAGAACATCCTAGGTAGTAGGTTGGTAGACAGCAACTGCCCAGGGAGGTACTACTGTCCTGCCAAGTGAGTGTAAAATGAAAGCCTGTAATTGTTTTACATGATGGTAGGATTGCTGGTGTCCTTTTTTCTGTTTCATAAACATGCAAGATTTCAGGTACGTCTTGCTACTTCTACTTACACTTAGGTCACACTACACATACAAGCATATATATACACACACCCCTCTGGGTTTTCTGCTATTTTCTTTCTAGTTCTTATTCTTGTTTATTTCCTCTTTATCTCCATGGGGAAGTGGAACAGAATTCTTCCTCCGTAAGCCATGCATGTTGTAAGAGGTGACTAAAATGCTGGGAGCAAGGGGCTAGTAGCCCCTTCTCCTGTATATATTACTAAATGTAAAAGGAGAAACTTTCGTTTTTCCTTTTGGGCCACCCCGCCTTGGTGGGATACGGCCGGTGTGTTGAAAGAAAGAAAGAATTAAGAACATTGTCAAAACAAAAAAAAATCATTTGAGAAAAATGGGTAGGGTATTTGGAGCATGACCCAATAATTTTGATTCAGATCAACATGTGTTTTGTATATCCAGTCTTTTGATTTCCTGACAATTACAGAAATTATAAAGAACTGAATAAATGAAAAACTGCATTTACTTAGATTTGGATTGGGATTGGAACCATTAATAAGTAGACAGTAGGTAGTATGCTGTGACTGAATTGTAAAAATGAAAATACTGTACTGTATTTTGTGTTTAATGAGTTTTGGATAAATTTTGGGTATTCTTAAACATTAGCAAGTTCACTGATGATATTAATGTACAGAAAAATATATTGAAAGGTTACTTTTCAAGCTTTGGTTCCTGATATAATATCACAGAGCACTCAGTTTTCTTAATACAGTTAGCTGCCAGTTGGAAATTGTAATTGAACAAGACATGCTCATCGTAATAGGTATTATAGTATTTTAAAGTTTATTATTAATTTTTAGTGATTGCAACTATTTGTTATTTTTGTTGTTATTATTAAAAAAAATTGATTAGTGCTCTGTATTAAAATTAACTTTTATTATAATTTTCATTACCATTTATGCTATTTATTTTTTAATTATAAATTTCAATAATTTTACTGTATTTCTCATATGAAAGTATTCAGCCTTAAACTGCATTAGTTTATTTTTAACTAATATCGTTGTCAAATCTGATGCAAAGTTAGACAGCCAATATCATTGCTGCCTCATTATGATAGTCATAAAACAATCCTCCAAACATAGAAACACTGTAACTTGATCAAAATGCCTGCATCCTTGTCACCATGAATGTTCTGTGCGTCCCCACGCCCGCCCACCACCAGCCCGGTTTTGTTTGTATGGATCTAAGAGTTGCCTGTGACATTAATGCCTGCCAAACCAGGTCAGCCATGATATTATTCACCCAAGACAGTGCAAATTCTTGTTTATCCTCTGTGGTGTGAGCTTTTGTAAAGTTTTATTTTTTATTACCTGGTTAGTAGATGTCAGAGTC